GAGAAGAATACAAATTTTCGTCTTTGATATTATTATTATTATTACTACTACTACATTTTATTTAATGGACGATGATGACGACGTTGAGCAGGTACCTAACGGTCGGTCCCCGAGGCGGCGGGGAGCGCGGGCTGGCCCCGGCAGATGGTCACCGGCGGCACTCCATAGGCGGGCTGGGGCCGCGGCGCCGGGCGGCACCCACCGGCACACACGTACGGCGGGGCAGGAGCTTGCTTTGACGTACAGGTACAACAGTGTGGTGGACTCGAGGAACGAAGCCGCCACGCCGACCAATTCCAGTCCAGGTCCCCAGCAACCGAAGGCATGCAGCGACCAATGCGATGCGCCGCGCGGAACGAAAAAACTAGTAGACGCGAGTCGTACGTGCGTGCTGAATGCTGATGGCACGCCAGGAGCGGCAGACAGGCCGGCGACTGAAGATGGCAATGGGGTTGTGCCCGTCGGGTATCGTCACAACGTTTTGTTTTCCTGCTACGAAGAATTTATCCCATTCCCGTTTCCGTCCCCGTTAACTGTCTCGGGTATAGATTATTACCCATCTCCGTACCCGTCGGGCATCGGTCGGGTAACAAATACTCGACGGGTACTGCATACCCGATAAACAAGGACACTTGGGGTCGCAGCTTTACAATCGGAGATATTTCTTCTTCACCCGGGTATAAGTGTCGAAGTCTCGGAGATGCCGAGGAGGAGCGAGATTGCGAGGAGGACAAGCAAAGGTGGCAGAGAGACCGAACTGAGGAAGCGAGGGGCACGAGCGCTCGTGAGGCAGGCGTGCTTGTGCTGCTGACGGAGATGGTGAGGAAAAATTGAACTAAGGTTCCTAGAACACACAAACTATATATATGATTGTTCAGATTTGGGCCAAAATACCTATGTTGAGCTTCTTTGGGCCTAATATTCGTATGACAGCTCAAATAGTCGGGTTCCCCAACGGGTAACGGGAACAGGTAAACAGGGAACGTTCCCGTACCCGCTATACCCGTCGGGGATAGATTCTTGCCCATTTAGATACCCGTGGGTAAAGATATGATCACATCCCCGTCCTCTAATGGATCAAATACCCGTCGGGTATCGGGTATCAGGGTCCCGTTGCCATCTTTACCGGCGACCGTCGTCCCGCTCCCGTCCCTTTAGCAACCGGCCGGCTGGCGCGCGTGCGGGTGTGCCGTTGAGGACGGACTTATTTAAATATAAAGTTTCGGCATGTCACATCGGGTATCACGTGTAGATGACATACGAGGTGTTTGAATATACTAATAAAAAAGATAAATTACAGAATCCGTTAATAAACCGTGAGACAAATTTTTTAAGCCTAGTTAATCCGTCATTAGCATATATGTTACTGTAGCACCACATTGTCAAATCATGAATTAATTAGGCTTAAAAGATTCGTCTCGCAAAGTAGTCACAATCTATATAATTAGTTAATTTTTAGTCTATATTTAATACTCTATGTATGTGTCAAACATTACGAAATGTAAGGCCCTGTTTAGATCCAAAATTTTTTGGATTTTGGCTACTGTAGCACTTTCGTTTGTATTTGGCAATTAGTGTCTAATTATGGACTAATTAGGTTCAAAAGTTCCGTCTCGCGATTTCTCACCTAACTGTGCAATTAGTTATTTTTTCGTCTACATCTAGTACTCCATACATGTGCCGTAAGATTCGATGTGACGTATACTGCGTAAAAATTTTTTTAATATAAACGGGGCCTAAGCTTTTAGGAACATACTAAATAAGGCCACGCATCATGCCATGGCCATTCCAATGATCGACGCACACGCACACGCACATACAGGAGCCAAGACATGACGGCGCGACCGCGACCCTCGTTCACTCGTACTGAGGGGCGCTTACGATTGGCCGGCGCAAGGAATCAATAATCATCCGTCGTCCAGGACCGACGTGGTGTCATGTCACGTACTCCTCCTACGGCAGACCAGGCGTGCATGCGCACACGCCTTCGTGTCTGCTAATGTCATGTCCCTTCAGCCCCAAAATAACTGTCGCCGCTGGGGACGGGTCGCACGTTTAACTTTATTAGCAGAGAATACGTGAAATATCTGTATCTTTAAACAAATTTATAAAAATTAGAATTAAAGATTTTTTCAATAATACTAATTATGTACCATAAATACTAATATATTTTAATATATATTTAGTCAAACTTGTTTTTTAAAAACAAAAATGATAGATATTTAGGGACGAAGAAGTATGTTATTTATTATGCTATCTTAATACTATCTTCCACCGATATGATCGGCCAGATAATATAATAAAACCGGAGTTGAGAGCACGGCAGTGATGATCCATCATCAACACAGCACGGCAAAGCGGAGGAGCGAGGAGGTCCGTCGCTGGCACAGGCACACTGACTGTCGGCGGGCCCCACGGCCCCGTGTCCCCCACCCGTGCGCAGGCCGGCCTGCCAACGTTGACCTGTCAGGGCCCGCCATCCGGGGCCCACTGCCAGTGCCAGTCGCGTCGCCACGGCGGAGTTGCCGCTGCCTCCTCGTGCTGCTCTGTGCTTCCCCTTTTCGCGTTGCGCCGGCCCAACGGTGGGGCTACCCGTTACGCTATCCTCAAATGCATTGGCTTCCGGATCCAATGCGCCTCTGTTTCCTGTGGTGCTGGACACGGAAGTACTCCTACGGCGGCGGCCGTATATCATCACAACGTTTTTTTCGTCTACCGAGAATCCGGTACAACGATAATCCATGATACTAGCCGCCGTTTGAAGCAAACTACGAGAGAGCAAAACGTCCAAGTGTCGTAGAAAAAAAATGCGAAACAACTTGTGCCAATTTGGTTAAGGGGGGTGTTTGATTCCCTCCTTCACCTCCTAAATCTAGTCCCGTCCTATCTAGTCATTTTTTACCTAAACACTTTAATTAAATAGGATTAAATAGACTTTAGCCAACTAGTCACTTAAATGTTGCTAAATGGGACTAAACCTCACCTTTTAATCAGGATGCCTCACATTTTAGTTACTTTGAGCCAAACACCCTGACTAAAAAGGACTTAAAGGCCTCTTTTAGTCTCTTTTAGTCTACCAAACTAAACACGAGGTGACTAAAGTTTAGGAACTGGTTTAGGTGACTAAATTTAAGCATGTGCAAACCAAACAGGCCCTAAGCAAGTACTAGCTAGCTTGCTATTTTCAACAAAATACGAATTCATTTTTTTTTACAAGAAAGAGGTCAATTAACAGCCTTTTGCACACAAGGCATCGCGACAGTGAACGCCAAGTGCTCGATGCTGAGAGCTATATACTCTTTGCTAATCACAGACTCTAAGAAGACGGATGGACCGGTCCACACGAAATCCCATTTCGTTGGACAACTATCCACCTGGTTGGATAGACTACATACCTCACTTAGTTTTTAGTTCATACTTTTTTGCAAATGGTACAAGGCCAGATATTACATTTGCTGTTAACCTATTGGCAAGGTTCAGTTCAGCACCAACCAAAAGGCATTGGAGTGGTTTAAAAAGAATTCTTAGGTACCTTCGAGAACTATTGATCTTGGATTATATTTAGAAACAAGATCTTAGCATAACGGATTCCAATACGTATATGAATCAGACTCTATACCAATACCATTGCTTGACGCGAGTTGTTGGAATTTTTATGAGCGCAGGTAGTGAATCCTAAGATAGGAATGACGTGACCCAATACATATTGGAATTAGACTTCGCATCAATCATCGCTAATGCTTGTTGTTCTAAATTTGGACTCTTTAATATTAGGTATAGATAAAAATATTTATTAAAAAGTGATATATGTATATTTTTATGAAAGTATTTTTCACGACAAATCTATTTATATAGTTTTCATATTTTTAAACTCAAAAACTTAAAAGTTATTTATAATTATATTCCTAATATTTCACCTAAGTCTTGTCAAAATGACTCCTTTTATGAACATGGACTAAGTCTTTTTTTGGTGCTCACATCATATAAATTATGATATTTTATTCCAAATTTTTAGTACACGGAACGAAGACAATCAGTTTTTTTTTGTTAAATTTGTTTTTTTCTATAGCATCTCAGTTGTTTGCTTTTATGCCGACGTTGTGAGTTTGTGGGTCTGTGCATGAGGTATTCTTTTTTCTTTTGAAAAACACCAAACGCAGGCCCGTTCGGCTTACCCAGAAATTGGCTTGTTCGGCTTGTTTTTTCAGCCGGAACAGTGTTTTTCTCACACAACAATTCAGCCAGAACAGTGTTAGTGTTTTTCAGCCAGTTTTAGTCAAGTTTCAGCCAGCCAAACGGGGCCATGTGAACTGACAGACTGGTTCTGAGTCAGCTCACTGCGTGTGCCGCCCGTCGACGGAGACTCCACGGTTCCACGCGGCATTCATCCGAATGGGCCTACATCAAGACGCGGGCGCAGGTAGGCTGTACCCAATTTTTTTCCTCCGCTGAGGCCTCGAGCAGAAGGGCAGGCCTGGTGCAAGTGGTAGAGTTTTACCGCCTGTAATCGGAAGGTCTCGGCTTTGAGTCGCGGTCTCATCGCATTGCACAAGCGAGGGTAAGGCTTGCCACTAACACCCTTCTCAGACCCCGCACAGTGCGGGAGCTCTCTGCACTTGTACGTCTTTTTAGGCCTCGAGCACAACTGCACCACGCCGCTCTCAACTTTAATTTAATGATCTTCAGCCTGTTCATTTGGCTGTGGCTTGTCGTAAATGATCGTAAATTTCCAATCGGAACAGTATTTTTCTCTCACATAAACCAGCCAGCAATACTTCTTCACGAACCAGCAACGAAACGAACCAGCCAACCGAACAGGCTGCTTATCTGCAACCAGTGCTCCGTCCCTTCTCTCTCACGTCTCTTCTCTTCCTCTCTCAAAGGTCAAAGCTGAGTTCCACATCTCAAAAGAAAATCTAAATCCAGATCACAGCCCTCCTCCCTCCAAGTCCCAGCGCCAGCGGCGTTGGTTTGGCTCCCCACTTTGCTCATGGAGACTGTTAGTAGCACTTGATGATGGTGTCGACGAGCACGCGGGTGTCTTCGGCAGTGTTGCCCGGCGCCACGTCCTTCCACGACGGCGGTGGTGGCGTCGGGCGTAGCAGGAGACGGGTGGACGGTGGTGACGGAGAGATAGTTCTGGAGCCGGTGCTCGCTACTGACGACCGAGATGCTGAGGACGTGGCTCTCGTCGAGTCGTCGTCCAGGATGTCGAGGCGCTCGTGGCTAGACGCCGTGGGGAGGCCGTACATGATGCGCACCTTGCCCACACCGCCGTCGCCTACCAGCAGCATGCAGCTGCGCACGAACTGCTTGTACGTTTGCGGCTGGTCGAACCGCCGCACCACGGACCAAACCGCCGCCATGGGCACCGTCATGTGTTGCTGTACCACCGCGGAGCAGCACCGCCCGGGACCCAACGCCGCGTGCTCGTGGTGACGCGGCGCCGCCGCCGCGGGCACCTCCCGCACCGTATCTCCGCGCTCGTCGTGGAAGCAACAGCCGCGACCACCTCCACCGCGCACCCGCTGCTGATAGCCGTACCCTACCGGTAGAATAGATCCGGTGGAGCTTGCACAGTCACAGGTGGCCTCGTCCGCGTTAGTAAGCTCATCAAGCACCGGTGCCTTGCCACGACCAGCGTTTGCGCATTGACTGCATTGTGGCCCTATCTCGTCGAGACATCGTCCCAATGGAGTGGCTAGAGGAGTCGAGGAACGTCCTTTTTCTATGATTGTCTCTGTGTTTTGTTTCCAACTCTAATAGTTGGAATATACATCGGATTTGGTACATGTTTGTTTCTTCACTTTTTCCCCATTTCTTTTTTGACACGTTGGAAAAAAAAGGAAACCGTCAACGAAGAACGTTAGACACCAATGACGGATGAAAATAGGACTCAACGCGATATATTTAGACTCTTATGAGCACGGCTTATGATGAGTCCGAGTCACATACACGAACCAATCCGTTTTAGAATCAAACTCCGTATCTAGCTATTATATATATAATAATACACTCATGAGCACAAGTTATTATATATATAATAAGCCCCTCAATTGTTCGATAGTTAGGGGAAGACGGACAAAAAAAAAATAGATTGACCAAAAATAGGCTGAAATTTTGACTCTTTATAATTAGGTAATAGATTAAAAAAAGGAAAAAGAGAGGATGAACGAAGAAATTTAAGTGTCTTTAATATTAAGGATTAAGGATAGAATATATATTCCCTCAATCCTATAATAAATAAGTTTCTAGAAATCTTCGGACAAGTTAAAAACGCTGGTAAAAGATACATGTACCCTCGTATTCATGAACGTGTAAATTAGGAAGGAATTTAAGAAAATCTAATCGTATAAAAAAGAAGCTGATCACAAATTCACAATTGACAGCAGGTGGACCCGAGGTATATATAGAAAACAAAGCAAGGCAGCCAAAGTGGCGACAGGGGCAGAATCGTCTTTCCGGCCACGGTCGCCCGTCGATTTAGCCGCCCCCCGGCCGACTGGCCGAGTCCCCTCTTCCGTCCCAAACCCTCACTTCTCCCTCTCCGCGCTCCGACACCTACACACGCACGCGCTAAACCCGCGCGCACGCAGGAACGCACGCGCCCGCGCGCTTGCGCTTGCCCTGCGCTCGTGCTCTTATCGCGCCGGCCGGGATGGGCGCGAATAAGGGGATGGCGGCGGCGGCGGGGACGGCGGTGCTGCTGTACCTGGTGCTGTCGGGGCGGCTCTGCGGGGACGCCGCGGGCGGTGACGGCGGCGCCGCCCTGGAGGACCAGCTGATATCGTCGGCCGTGTCGACGGCGGCGGAGGCGCGGCGGCGGAGGAAGGAGGAGGCCCGGGCGCGGCGGGAGCAGCAGCGGCGGGCGTCGCGCGCCACCAAGCGGCGGCGGTGGCCCGAGCGCGCCCCGGACGGGTGGGGCGAGGCGGCCGCCCTGGCCGCGCGCACCGTGCGGCTCACCTGGGCGGAGACGCTCGGCAAGTGGGCCCTCGGGGAGCTCGCCTTCGGGATCAAGTACTACATGCGGCAGCAGGTATGCGTGCCAGTGCCCGCGTCCGTTCCCTCGACGATCGCCGGCCGCGCGACGCCGACGAGGAGTAGCACCCTGCGTTCCCCATTGTGCCGTTAAAAATGTTTGCTTTGTTTTTGGCTTTGTCTTGCACGAGATTTTTTTTCTAGGTTTTTCACTTTTGGGATTGCCCGCCTGGTTAACTTGGAGGTGATGTGTTGCTACTTTGCTTCCGTGGAATTTTTCTCGGTCAAGCTTGGTTTGTCGCCTTTTCTTTTCTTTTTCCCTTTATTATCTTGTTTGAAAACCGTGAAATGGAAAATATCTCCCGGGAAGAATCTTGCTTGCGTGCAAGAAAAGATGCAGAAGAAAGAAACGCCCCCAATCTGCGCGAGTTTCTTTCCCCCGTGGTCCGGTTTTTCGTTGCGCATTTATGCTGTGTTCTTCTCTTCCTTTCCCTCTTTTAGATTGGTCGACAGTCCGGCAGGCCCATGGCTTTTTGAAAGAAACTATCGTGGATTAGGAATCTGATCAGATACTGGACTGTTCTGAGTTGCTCGCCGAACTTGCTGAAAATCTATTTGGTCCACCTTTGAAGCAATTCCATATAGTTGCTGTCAACTGGGACCACACCTTAATACGTACTACTAGTTAGTAAGTGCTAAATGCTTCTATGTTGCAACATGTTTCCTTGCTAGCTTGGAGGTTACGTGGGTACTTGTGCCTAGTTTGAGAACAATCTACCAAACGGGTACATGAATGCGTGTTGTCTTAGTTTTTGCATAATTCTTGAATGTTACACAATTCGACGAACAGTTCAATGCAATTATTTTCTAGTACTACTTTGCTGACATCTGTTTTGATGGAGTTGGTTGTATGCAGTTAGCTTTTTCACCTCACCATCCATATATACTATTGTGTTCTCTTCAATAATTTTGTGATTTTGGTCCATCATGGAGTGGGGCTACTTTAGCATACCTATTAAATTTGACTCCTTGGGATTGTTTAAGAAAATTGTTTTATATATAAATAAACTACCCTACTTTCGGTCTTTCCCTCCTAGAAACCAAACTCCACTTTGATTACTTTAGGCAACAAGAAATTGTAAAGTTAAGTGATCGTTGGATTTGAACCAGATACCTAACTGATAAGATGCTAGCCGCCTTTAGCGGCTCTAAGTATTCTACATTCTAGAATCATAGGTTGTGATAATTTTTTTTCTCTAGAAATTGGCCTGCTCATTTGTCTTTGTACTTTTATCTTATTTCTGTAAGTCGTGATGTCGACAGATTACATATTGTCATGGATAAATGAAACATGTCAGTTTACTCTTACAGGGTAATCTGCAGCATGAGTATGCTGGAAGTGATTCTGTACTACTGAATGGGCCTGAGGTAAGGCAGGAGCTGATTTCGCTGCTCAGATATCTGAAGCAATGCATGTATTTCTCGAAGAAGCCATACAACGTGTTTTTGGAGTATGGTGGTTATAGCCAGAATGATGTGCTTATAAAGAAATCTAAGGCGAGGGTGCGTAAGTATCAGTTAACTCTCTGTTGTCAAGTATGCGTTGAGACTCAACATCCCAAACTTGTCACGGGCGATTTTTTTTTTTCTGTTCATTCCGCTGCTGATAATAAATCAAGAGTAACTGAATGAAATTCTGTTCTATCATGCAGCTCCTGAAGCCTGCTTTCACCATTGTTCGTGACAGAAGTAGCAAATGCTTTCTCCTTTTCATTAGGGGGGCTATCAGTGTTAAGGAGCGGTTGACAGCAGCAACTGGCGCAGAGGTTCCATTTCATCACGTTGTCGTCCAGGAAGGTCGTGTTTCGAACCTAGTGTTGGGCTATGCCCACTGTGGAATGGTTGTAGCAGCTCGATGGATTGCAAAACAAGCCATTCCTTGCCTGAGTAAAGCAATCGAGGAATTCCCAGAGTATGAGGTTAAGGTAATTTCTTCAGCTCTAGCGAGTATCTGCAGGTGATCTTTTGATGTTCAACCATTCTGCATTGTCGAAAACTCATGGTATTACATATTGATGAGTCATCTATTGTCCGTTCTTTTATATTTTCTGCTTCTGTATTGAACTAAAGTTCTGTAATTCGAAATTGATGCTTACTTGTCTACCTAGTAAATTGCACAAAAGCAACATAAGTCGTGAATGCTAAAGCAAGTGGAACTGCAAGTTGTTATCAACTGGAAATGCCAAATATGTTTTTTCCTTTCTTAAAGCCAAAGCAAATGAACTTCTAAGCACTCTTGCAGTAAAGTATCATCAATGGACTTTAGGATTCTCTAGTGCTGAGCAAGAATCTTAAGAAAATGGATTGCCAAAGTACTGAGGTACAAGCTTAAAGTTATGACTACCATGAGTAGAGAGAATAAGTGGACCACACTCATGAATGTAAAAAATTAATCAAAATAATATGAAACTAATGCTGAACAACTTAATAGTGTTGTATCTCATTTCTTCGTTGACTTTCATATTTGTTTTTGATGAAACTTTCATATTTATTTATGTGATTTCAGTGTATTTATAATTTTGTTAGCTAACCAGTGCGTGTCTACTCAAATGTTCATGTGTAGAACCTGAAGGAATTTATTTGAATTTGTTTTGCTTTAATTATTGTTCATCCTAGATGATTTCTTTTGTTGGGAGGGACTTCTATATAGCCCCACATTTCTTTATATCCAACTTTTATCATAGACAGTATATGATGTTTCTGTACATAAACTCTCTTTCCTTCCTTAATTGAGAGGCAGAGCTCCTGCCAGGTTCCTTAAAAAAAAGGTATATGATGTTAAATATTTGTGCCTTGCATCTGACCCTTTCTTCATTTTACTTTATTTTGTTTAGATCATTGGACACTCAATGGGAGCTGGGATTGCAACAATACTAACATACATCCTCTGCGAGAAGCGAGAAGCTGTATCATCATCCTCTTGTATTGCATTTGGGCCAGGTACTGCATTGAGAAGTATAGTTTACTTTGAACAACATAAGTTAAGAAAAGTCTTTCCATTTCCATTCGCAAACAGTATCCTTCACTAAAACGCAACATTGGCATGCTGCCACAATACGATGTCTTGTAATGACTGCTCACTGGTTCACCTGTTGGCATTTCCATTCACACTTTTCATTTTATAAGAGAGCTCTGGTATTAGTCATATTAAAAATTAAAAGGATGTCAAAGGATAATTATGTTGTATTTATGCTTAATGATAACTGTAACCGATGTTCTAAGATAGCTGTAATGAGCTATCTATCACTAGAACACATTGTTCTGAATTATCCCTAAAGCCTAGATCATTACTAGAATCTAACATCTCTGGAACGTTTATCTGTTGTCT